CCCCTGACTAATAGCGGGGTTTTTGAGATGATCACGTTTCGGCCATTCTTTATACAGCCGAATCGTAATCCTCGCGATGGAAAGAGCAACAGGAAATCTGTTCCAGCTCCGCTGTGTCGACTGCTAATGATTGCAACAATCCGATAAGTGCCAGAAAGGCTGAGAAATAATGAAGAGCGGTCGGCCAGGTTAATTAAAGCCGAGAGTTGAACAAAGCGACGACATAATGAAGGTTCGGGGAAATTGAATATTCGCTTCTTCCAGTGCCTACCTTCTCAACAATGGAGTGTCGTCCTGGGTGAAAAACGTGACCGCTTTGCCAGTGCGGCCGGCACGTCCAGCGCGTCCAATCCGATGGACATAGGAAATGGTCGATGGAGGAAAGTCGTAGTTGACCACCAAGTTCACGCCTTTGAAGTCGATCCCTCGAGCCATCAGTTCGGTGCAGATCAGCACCCAGATTTTGCCCTCACGGAAGCATTTCACTACATTGTCGCGCTGGAAAAAAAACACGTTTGATTTAGTGGGTTCGGTCGACAAGCGGGCAACAATAAAGCTCTAGCCAATAAATCAGCAGTTTTCAATAAACAAAACTTTACTCATAAATCGCACGTACAGCTTATCACGAAGGGAAACAAAAGCCCTTTGGCCTGCGTAGGTGCGAACGCAGACAATCTGTTTCGGATCAAACGCCTGCTGGCTAAGTACAAACTGGAAATAACCAGCACGTGTACCTTTGAGGCAAAATGCGCAATTAACCAGGCCGGTCCGAGTAACGTTTACTTAAAGAAGTTGAGACCCTGAATTCAATTTCACTTGAAAGTTGCACTTTTTAATTAAAAACCTTCTCTTGCAGCTTAGGCCAACTGTGTTATGTTATTATTAAAAGCACTAATTTCGAAAAACAAAATAAAAAAACTCAAAAAACACAAATTTCGAATTCAAGTTCCCCCAGGTGTAATTCAAACCACCCTGTATACAGGAGGAATCCGCAAGTTCAACTACCGATGAGGGCGCTGCGAAACGTCAAATTATTCGTTGTCCAGTGACAGTTGCGACTTGTCAGACTTGTTTATTTATTGGAGTTGATGACATTTATAACATAAAACAATACTTACACACTTTACGATCTGTTTCTATTTCTTCAAAAGCTTGCAAAAGTTGATTAGAACAAAACCGATCACAATCAGCCGTAAACACCAATGTCAACAAAGCAAGTGTCAAATTACTACGTAACTTGCAGCGTCTGGATTTTTGAACTCGCGAATTGGACACAAAACGTGTACAAAGTCCCAAGTAAAAAGCTCTTGTAGCGAAAAAATTCCTGGATGCTCCAGAAATTAAGCGAAAAAGTGTTTTTGCTGAAAGGGCCTAATTTGAAGCGTTTGTTAAGGTAAAAATAGAAAAACTAAAAATTCTGACGGACCCAAACGTCACGATCACCTAGGAGATGAACTGGTTCCTCAACAATGGAAAGTCTCAGTAGCTAAAATAGTCGTTTCTTGCTACATTGTTGCTGCAATTCACATTTAACTTCGTTTTGTCTTTTTCTAGTCTATATCAGCGACGATTGAGTGCGACAGAGACCAAGCGTGTCCGGTATTACGTTGCTCCTTCCATGCGCGACCAAATTGACGTTAAATGTCACTCAAATAAAATGTCAAACAAATCAGTTGGACAATTGCGCTCTTTTAGCCGGCAACTTTGAGGTCCAAAACGCCCGAAAACTGTGTTTAAAATCGGACAAACGAAGACTACTCGAGAAAGAAACGAATGTTTGCTTCAGTTTGGTGGAATTTCGCATCGCGAAAGTGTTCTTAGTGGTGAAAATGTGATTTAAAGTATAGTGATTTTGATTGAGGTTCGAACTTCAACGTATAACCAAAGCTTATATATCATGTTATTTAAGCTGCAAGTAAAAATTGACCAAAAAAAAGAGAAATAAAAACAGTGAAGTGTAGTGTAATGGTAATCAAATGAACCGTTATGTTTGCACAGCCGTGATTCGCCCTTTATTATAGCGCCCTGAGCAATTTTCCTAAATGCCCCTTACTGTGGTCTGGCCGGATTGCTGATTTCCCGTCTTCTCCATCCCCCAGTTCCTTATCATCAGGTATAAATGGCAATTATTTCCCGCTCTAAACCGGGGGGGTTAATGTATCGGAATTTTTCCTATTCGTCGTTTTTAAATGGGTCATCGAAAGCGTTGGCGGTAAGTGCGTAGTAAGTTTGTCCCCCACAAAGTCCCACGTGCGTTTTAAAACGCTTGTCAAATCAATTCACACTCACCCCTTGTCTTGTTTTCTTGTGTGTAAATGCCCCAAAATTAAATTTTATTCCACGTCCGTTTCGCCCTACAAACCGGGATCATGTGGTTCCCTTGGGTAGTGAAATTTAACTCTAGTTTTACGAGGGCAATCGTTTCGAATCCTCGTTGGTAAACTTCTTCGCCCGCTATGATGATAAATGCGCAATTATCTATTAAAAAAAGGTCGCGAAAAAAACGGTTAAAATTGATCACGGCTTTTCACCAACGCACCATTGTTCAGCAGCAAATGTTTGAATTGCTTGAAAAGAAAACTGCGTTCCATAAACCCTGAAAGCTGTGCCATAAAGCAATAATCGTCTGTTTTATGGAAATTCGCGCTCTTCGGCAATCAATAGGAAAACCCCGGTTCTATGAGGCTTGAAATTTTCGACTAAAATCTACGCTCCTAAAAACAAATCAAGCTCCCTTACTTGCCCAAGTAAAGCCAGTCAAGTCTACATAAGACGAAGACAAAGTTGTTTCATCAACAAAGCAATATCGCAGAAAAAAGTAAACAATTATCGTTGTGCCACATTAATTCTGAAGTTTTAATAACGAAAACCCGCGGGGTAAAAGTTTCTTTTGGAGCATTTCCGGTGGCAATTATGAGGTTTCCCTATCAATAAATAAAGGGGGGATACGGGGATTAGCTGGGAATTGTGGCAGGTTGATTAGAACGGTGGAAACATGAATGTGCCCACGTCTGGCTAATTCTGGGTCTAATTAAATGATTAATCTAATTGAAACAAGTGGGTTTTTAGGCCGTCGTAAAACGGAATTTCTTCCTGACGTTTTGCAAGCACGAGTGGCTTGCATCTTCAGAACCGGTTTGCTTGAACGCTTACACTGTTCTCATCAGAACGCGTTCAGTTCTTCCGCAGAACTTCCTACAAAGCTCCACTTCTGAAGATGCCAGCAGCTCGTGCTTGCAAAACGTCAAGAACCAATTCTACCGAACGACGAGAATTTCTTTCTGACGTTTCGCAAGCACGAGTGGCTTGCATCTTCAGAAGTGGTTTGCTTGAACGCTTACACTGTTCTCATCAGAACCCACGTTCAAGCCACTCGTGCTTGCGAAACGTCAGGAAGAAATTCCATTTTACGACGGCCTAAAAACCCACTAGTTTCAAGGAAAGTCTATCACTTTTGATTAGTCTAATTGCTTGGGAAGGAGTTTGATAGACCATCGAACCTCAAACAGTCATAGAAATGTTAAATATTCAAGTTCATTGAGTGCGGATTAATTATGCAAAACAGCCGGCATAATTTAACAACAATTATTCGCATGAAAGCCGCTGTTGTTCAATGGGGAATAACTAGAAATTTCATTACTCCCCGTAACTGAACCATTTAGGCAATTGTTAATTGTTCACTTTGATCTGCGATTGTACGAGTTACTGCTGGTTTAATTCACATATTGAAAATATTCAATGTTCAGTGAATGTACTTCAGAAAACCGGGGCTGCGGAAAAAGCGTCGTTTGAAGTGGTTTTTGCCTAAACAAGCGCGCTCGTTGCCTTTCAGGTCTTAATAAAAAATATATTGCCAATTCGCCCCCCGGCCACACTCATGTGAATTCCCGTATTTGTTTTCGTTAAAATGTTGTCTTCGTCAATATTTGCCGTTGAAACGATGCCACTCAACAACTCCAAGGGCCCCAAAAAACAATGCACCTTGTAGCGGCCCATTTGCAGTATAATTTCCGAGCTTTTTCATATTCGCCAGGAATAAATGCCGTTGGATTTCATCAGCAGGCCGAAAAAGCCAAACGTGGCTTTATTAATTTACCACTCGAAAGACTGGTTTATCTGAATGGGTTGCACCTATGCAACTTTTACGCCGTCCGTTGGGGACTTTTGCGGAAATAAAATGCCGCGGCCCATGTGCCGGTGTGCATAGTTTATCACTAGACGAGGTCGAGTTAAAAAGGGAGCGGAAAATTCTGAAATGCCTATTTGTCTATGTCCGTTTTACTGAACACGTAAACGCCGTTTTCCTACCAGTTCACTGAGAATGGGAAAGTGTCACTGTCCGCACTTGAGGACTTGATTCGACCACCGAAACATTCGGCTAAACGGCAAACCGGAAATTTCCCTCTAAACCAATCGATCAGCAAACCCTTTCAATAGTAGGTAAATCCTCTACTAAGCCCTACTTCTCCGTCTTAATTGAGTTCGCGATACGTCTTATATTTATCAACAGCCCGAAATCCGCCCTAAAGGATTAGAGATCCTCCATTGCAACGTTATGTAACGGAAAAATAATTAAAGCGAAAAAATCGCAACTGAAGCAGATGCCATCGCAAATATTGTGTCGTTCGCTCTCAGCTTCTCTGAACTTTTTATCAAATTAGAACGGGCACCTACAACACAAGGCCGCGCTTAATGGACGTGGCACAGCAAACTTTGCCCTTATTCTACTTAGAGAAACCCTAAGAGGGAGCACTTTTGCTCAATATTTGCCACAGCGTGGGCTTACCTGTGTTTGAGTGCGGTCAGCATGAATGGCATCGACCATAATCCCGTCGTAAATCAACTCGTTGAACAGTTGCTGAGCGCGTTCTTTGCTCTGCACGAAGATCAACACTGGCGGGCTGATCCCTTGCCGGATCAAGTCACGCATTGCTATGAGTTTGCCTTGCTCAGAACCAACAAATTGCAACTTCTGATCCACCGTGTCAGTGGCCGCATTCCTAGAACAAGAAAATAGTGGCCTGATTTCAACAGTATCTAAGCCCAAAGGGCCCGAATGGATCAATTCAGAGAGCAAGAAGTTACCAAAAATATACCAAAAGACCATCAGTTTATCAGCCGCCTGAACGATAAGTTACTGAAAACTTTCATTGTAAAATTCAGTCCGACTAATCCATGTCAATACCTTATGGTGTCGGGATAGAAAATTCGCAAAAATAACCGAACTGAAAGCAACAAATTGCAGCCGTCCGCCAGGATTTTAGAAGAAAAATGTACCATTTTGCACGTAACTTGTCGGTTTCTGCACCGTTTGCCAAAACTTGGAGAATTGATTAAAGTTCCAATGTATTTTCTTCGAATCAATGATCCAACTGCAAAAACCCCGCACAATGAAATTCAGCAAAGTGATCAGCTCGGTTTTTGCATAGAAAAAGTATTTGCAAGGGCGGGTCCAGGGGGGGTCATGGGGGTCATGACCCCCCCCCATTCAATTCTCTATCCAACGATGCCAAAACGAATTCTCTGGCTCGAATGGTTTTTTGAGAAACTTCGAAAAACGCAGCGTCATGTTCAAGTGGATTTTGCAACTCAAAAAAAAACCACGCAAATCTAAAACTTGTTGAATTCAAGCATTTTTTGAGAAAACGGTCAACATTTGCTTATCGATGGTTCACTTTTTAAAAAGTCCATTTATTTCTGTCCAGAATGATGTACAAATGAGCGTTCTTGCTCATTTTGACTCCGAGAAATGAGCAAAAATGGGACGGAAAACATGGAATTTTGGCATAATCTTGCACCTAATTGTCTGATATTCAAATTTTGCTT